GGGTATTTAAGATTCGGCTCAGCCGAATATAGCACTCTAACTTGTTTTTTTATTTTAATTATTTTAAGAGTTTTCCTCTTTAACAATGTTAGCTTCGGGAGAAAGAGCATATTCACTATTATACTATGTTTCCACTGGCTTGAAATCTATATATGCTTAAACATCTTCAAGGTGTTTCCACTGAGCTTACTCTTTTTTGATATTCGAATTTTCGAACAAATCCCGTCATTTTATTTTCATATAACGACAGTAATGTTAATTTCTTTCAAATTTAAACATTAAAAATACAAAATTGCATTTGTAAAAGTATAAATTTGTTTATTAAATGACAATAATTTTAAAATTATAATTTGTTTTGTTTTTATTTCGAACTGAAAAGTCACTTTATTGATAAAAACATTCAACTTGAATGGATAGTCTATAGTTATATTTGCTTATCCTAGACACAACGCAGTGTTGTATAAGGAAATTTTGTTCGAAAAAATACATATCGACATATTTCAAATCAAACCTAGTAGATTAAGTGTTAAAACAATTAATTGAAATTAATATAATGATATGTTTCTACTGAGGCGTTATGAGCAAATCTAGTGGATTTGGACAAAACTAGTTGAAATCATGTAGATTTTGCAGATATACGATATCTAGTAGATTTCATTTAAAATCTTTTTTCAAATCTAGACCGTTTACACTTACTCTTCTTGACATTTAGGAAGATTTCATTTTTTCTAATATTTCTCGAAAAAGTGTTTGATATAAAAAACTAGAAGGAAAAATGGGATATTTATTAAAATTTTATTTATAATAAAAAATATAAATGTTATATTTAAATATAACATTACATTTTATTTTAGATTAACTTTTCATTGATGTTTTTCAATTTATAAAAATTTTGTCAACTTTTAAATTTTTTGTTTGATTTCTTTTTCTCTTTTTTCTTGTGTAGCGTTGTATTTTTTAGTATTATTTATGGAAAAACAGAGTTGCATCACTAAAAGCTATTAGAATTTGAGTAGATTTTAATGAAATCTTGTTACGAAGTAGATTTCGTTTTTTATGGGAAATCTAGTTAAAATCAACTAGATTTGGCTCGCAATCTCATAAGTACTAGATTTCGTGTATGTGTAAATGGGGTATTGTAGCCCATTTACACTGCATCCAAATCTAGTAGATTTCAATAGAAATCTTTCTTCAAATCTACACCGTTTACACTTCGTATTTTTGACATTTAGGAAGATTTAATTTTTTCTAATATTTCTCCAAATTGTGAATGAAATGAAAAATTTTACTAGAATTTCGTTTAGAATAAAAAAATTTATATTTAAATATTACATTGCTTTCTATTTTAAAGTAACTTTTCATTCATGTTTTCCAATTTATTAAAATTTTGTCGACATTTTGATTTTTCTTCGTTTTGTTTTTTTTTTCTCTTTTTTCTTATGCAGCGCGGTATTTTTTAGTATTATTTAGGAAAAAACAGAGTTGCATTTCTATTTTTACTAGATTTTGAGTAGATTTTGCCGAAATTTACTATTGAAGTAGATTTTGTTTTGTATGGGAAATCTAGTTAAAATCAACTAGATTTGCTCGAAATCTCATAAGTACTAGATTTCGCTGTAGTGTGAATGGGGTATTAAATTATTGTAAAAGCATGATGCTTAAACACATTATTATAAATTAGGATAATATATTATAGTCTTAAGTGTTCATATGTTATTTGTTTCATTGTATCAAAAAAAAAGGCTCAATAAATTTTAACATTAAAAAAGAAAATCAGTTTTTTAATTTAATTGCTTTTACCCAGAATAGTCATAATTTTCTAACCCGTGCTTATATTAGACAAATATTTATTATGCTAAACGTCAAATTGTTATCATGATAAAAAATTAGCTGGTACAGACGCCATTTATTAGCTTATAACGTCGTTATGACAGTGTTGTCTAACCCCGTGTCTATATTAGACAAATATTTATTATGCTAAACGTCAAATTGTTATCATAATAAAAAATTAGCAGGTACAGACGGCATTTATTAGCGTTATAACGCCGTTATGACAGTGTTGTCTAAACAATTGTTTAGACAACGTTGTCTTGATAACAAACGTCATTTTATTGTAAAATTTGTTTAGAATTTTGTTTTTGTGCAATTAAAATTGATTTTTAACATTAGTTTTAGTGAAATTAGTGTTTATTTACAAAATTTGCATTTAATTTTAATTGTTTTTATAAAATATAGCATTATTTCAATAAAATTATCTGTGAGTTGTCGTGATAAAATCAGCGTTTTGTTACCCCTATGTATTAACATAAACAAAAAACTGACAATTTTTCTGCCGACGTTTTGTCAAGTGCCGTGATAAATATTTGTCTAATATAGACACGGGGTAAACAATTATGAGAAAGAGCGAAAACAATTGGCTTTTCGCTCATCTACTTGCTTTTGTTTGCCTTTACAATCGTACATTTGAGAACAAAACAAATGCCGAAACGTATTTTATGAAAGAATCATAAAGTGTGTGTATTGATTTCATTTAATTTGTACGGTTTTTATTTTTTTTGTTTTTATTACTACTGTATTCCACAAAGGCATCTATAAAAACTTAAACCTACAAGTCTTCTTTTAATTTTACTCAAAAATGTTTTTGTAAGAAGCAAAACCACCAGGAAACGTTTGCGAAAATGCTTCGCTCAAAACTTTTCAGTTTTGCTCCCATTGTTTTCTTTTCTAGCTGCGTACATTTGAGTTAATGAACATGATGTGCTCAAGAGCAAAAACAATACAAAACGAAATGAGAAAGTCTATTTTGTTGTTTTGGTTTTGTTTCTGTTTTACTCACTGCAAAGATCAAAACAAAACAATTGCAAACGTTTCGTTTAGTTTATTTTCCTACTCTGCTTGATAACAAACGTCATTGTATTGTAAAATTTGTATATAATTTTGTTTTTGTGCAATTAAAATTGATTTTCAACATAAGTTGTAGCGAAATTAGTGTTTATTTACTAAATTTGCATTTAATTTTAATTGTTTTTATAAAATATACCATTATTTCAGTAAAATTATCTATGAGTTGTCGTGATGAAATCAGCATTTTGTTACCCCTTGCCTATATTAGACAAATATTTATCACGATGCTTGACAAAACGTCGGCTGAAAAATTGACAGTTTTTTGTTTATGTTAATTCATAGGGGTAACAAAATGCTGATTTTATCACGACAACTCACAGATAATTTTATTGAAATAATGCTATATTTTATAAAAACAATTGAAATTAAATGCAAAATTTTGTAAATAAACACTAATTTCACTAAAACTTATGTTAAAAATCAATTTTAATTGCACAAAAACAAAATTCTAAAACAAATTTACAATAAAATGACGTTTGTTATTGTTGTCTAAACAATTGTTTGGACAATACTGCCATAACGACGTTATAACGCTAATAAATGATAACAATTTGACGTTTAGCATAATAAATATTTGTCTAATATAGACAAGGGGTTACCCCTATGCATAAACATAAACAAAAAACTGATAATTTTTCCGAAAAAATAAGCATTTTTTTCACATTCTGATGTAATTTTCACGAAACCTATGCAATGTAATTCCATGAAAATCATCGTTCATTTATTTTTACACGAGGACTTTATACCTGTTGAAAATTGCCGGAATCGGTCCATAATTTCTTATACCTCCCATACAAAAGTACATATTACCGGAAAATGAGTTTATTGTTAATAACTTCCGTCAGAATATTGATATCTTCACAAAATTTTACAAATAAAAATTATATGTCAATAGAATTCATTTAGAGAAAAATTGTCTGTATCGGTCCATAATTGGACATAGCTTCCATACAAGGTCCTCTCCCGAAAATCACTTAAACGCCCATAACTCATTACTAAATTCAGATATCCATATAAAATTTGGTACAAGTATTGCTCTTATATACAAAAATGTCACTGTTCAAAAATTATATTTTAAGATTTTTTCACGATCGGTTCATAATATGGGTGCGATCGATCCCAAACAAGATTCCCTTCCGAAAATCACATTACTTATTACTAAATTACTATATAGATAGGAAATTTGACTAAAATATAGCTTTTATATACAGAAATGTTACTTAAAGATTTCTTTACGTTCGGTCCATAATTGGTCATATCTCCCATACTAGATCCCGAAAATTTGAATTTCCTTAAATTTTCACACAAATTATTAATTATCGCTAAAGCATATCTTAGGGGGCTTTAAAAATATAAAAGAAAATGGCGTTTGTAATGTTAAAAAATCTTGCAATTGTAACAGATTTTATCTGTTTAAATCTTGGGGTTTTTCGATTTAAGTCATGAGAAAACTTATTTCTACAAATATTTAATCAATTAAAAAAGTATTAATATAAAAGTAGCTGGTGGAGGGTATTTAAAATTCGGCTCAGCCGAATATAGCACTCTAACTTGTTCATATACATTTTGTTAATATATGTGCAATAAGAATTCATGAAAAATTGATTAACTTATTTTTTAATAGGAAATAATCTTATACCCCATTCTAGTACATATGAGATTTCGAGCCTAATCTAGTTGATTTAAACTAGATTTCCCATACAAAATCTACTTCGTAACTAGATTTCGTTAAAATCTACTCAAAATCTAATAATCTTTAATGATGCAACTCTGTTTATTTCTATATTATAAATAAAATTTTAATAATCCCATTTTTCCTTCTGATTTTTCATATCACACACTTTTTCGAGAAATATTAGAAAAAATGAAATCTTCCTAAATGTCAGGAAGAGTAAGTGGAAACCGTCTAGATTTGCAAAAAGATTTTAATTGAAATCTACTAGATTTCGTATATGTGTAAATGGGGTATTATCATAAATAGTTTTTGTAGTAGCCTAACACTGTTCAAATACAACTCTAAACTTAACGAAAGAAAAATCAACCCTGTTACTATACACGCTTCTTTACGCCATTTTGTCTACACTAATTCTCTTTCATCACATTTTCTTCATTCCTTTTCCGGCTGTCGACTTGGTGAGTTCAATTTTATTCTAGTTTGGAAGTCGGACGTAAATTAAGAAAAAAATCAATTAATTGGAAAAAGTGAATTTTGGAACATAATTAAGTGTTAATACTGGAAAGAAATAATTTGTGAAAAGTATAATGGAAGCAATAATTAAAACTGAGGTTAATGGTAGTGGCCCATTGCCACAAAGACCACAGAAAAATCAAGGTGGTGGCAACAAGAATTTCAATAAGCCTCAAATGGATGGTGGTCCAGCTGAAAAAAAGCCACGTTTCAACCAAGGCGGTGGCAACAATAATAATAATAATCAGAACAACAGAGGAGGATTTGGAAACAAAGGTTTTGGTAATAACAGAAATAATAATAACAATCGTAATCGTGGTGGCGGAAATAATAGAGGAAATTTCCAGAATCAGCAGGTAAGACAGTTTCATTTATTTAATTAATTTGTTGAATTTTGTTTGCAACTTTTGTTAAGTTATTGAATATTAATCTAAAATGCAATTGGTTGTGTAATATTCCTATTGAGAAAATTTTGTACATCTCATGAATAAAATTTTCAAGTGTCTATAATAACAAAATGGCGGCCGAATTTTCTTTACGCTTACGAATGCCGGTCGTACTGCATTCGTATGATAGATATTTTTCAATCAGTGATGCCAACATTTTTATTAATACAAATAAAAAAAATATACATACTTTGTAAACCTTGTAGGGTTAAACTAATTGTAATGTTTTAATTTTTATTAAAAATTAGTATGTACTTTAAGTTTTTTATTATTTAATTTAAAATACTAAATATTCAAGACTTGCCCATCAAGAAAATTTTAAAACAATGAAATGCTTTTTTTCATGATAAATATACGTACATACATACAGTGTCTCTCATAAGTATTCGAATTTAGGTATACTATGAAAAGAAACTAAATTTAATAATACTTTTTGTGTGAAAAATAAATAAATTAAACCAAAAATACATTCTTTCGGTTGATAGAAACCCCTTAAAACAATTTTAAGCAAAAAAAAAAAAAAAAAAAAAAAAAAAAAAAAAAAAAACTCGATTTTGGGTTTCGCATAATATGGTCAAATATGAAATACAGGGAAAATTCGAATACTTTTGTGAGATAATTTTATGGACTTTGAACTATTTATTAATAAACAAGCTAGCTCTAAGTATTTACATAAGTAAAAATTAATTATTTTAATGAAATTTATAGAATTTCTGTTCAATAAGATTCCCAAATTTAATGTAAGATTGTAATAAAATGTTTTTTATGTGTGTATAGCAAAACCAACAACAGCCACAAGCCCAAAATCAACAACCCTCTGCTCAACAGCCTGCGTCAGATGTTAAACCTGAAAATGCAGCGAAAACGGAACCCAAAGCTAATGAAGAGACCAAAAATGCACCACCAAATAATCAACAACCACAACAACAGCAGCAGCAGCCACAACAAAATCAGCAAAATCAAAATCATAACAATAATATGAATAAGCAAGGTGGTGGAAACAATAATATGGGAGGAGGTGGTGGCGGTAATCGCGACCGTGGTCAAAAACGCGACCGTCACTTTGACGGCCCACGTGGAGGTGGTCGTGATGGTCCCAGAGGCGCAATGGGTGGTGGAGATGGTGGCAACCGTGGCGGTCCTGGACGAAATGATGAGTTCTTTATCGGCCAACGTTTGCGTGCCATTGCCGGGCCAACTCATGAACTACCACCAATTGAGAATACAGAAGAAACTAAATTCTCTGGCCGTAACCGTCTCTATGTTGGTAATTTGACCAACGATGTCTCCGAGGAAGATTTGCGTGAGCTTTTCAAACCTTTCGGAGAAATTGGTGAAGTTTTTAGCAATCCTGAAAAGAACTTTGCTTTCCTAAAAATGGATTTCCACGCCAATGCTGAGCGTGCAAAGCGCGAGTTAGACGGTACTTTACGTAAGGGACGTATGTTACGTGTACGTTATGCCCCAAATTCTACAGTTTTACGCGTTAGCAATCTAACACCATTTGTATCTAATGAATTGTTGTACAAGTCATTCGAAATATTTGGACCCGTCGAGAGAGCTTGTGTCAACGTTGATGATCGTGGTAAATCTACCGGAGAGGGTATTGTTGAGTTTGCCAAAAAATCATCGGCTAACGTTTGCTTGCGTTTCTGTAGTGAAAAGTGTTTTTTCCTCACTGCTTCTCTGAGGCCATGTGTTGTTGAGCCTTTTGATGCCAACGAAGACACAGATGGTTTGCCCGACAAGTCTCTAAACAAAAAATTGCCAGAATTCAACCACGAACGCAATGTTGGTCCTCGTTTTGCTGATGTTGGTAGCTTTGAACATGAATATGGTACCAGGTGGAAGCAATTGCACGAATTATTCAAGACCAAACAGGAGGCTTTGAAACGTGAATTAAAAATGGAAGAAGAAAAATTGGAAGCACAAATGGAATATGCTCGTTATGAGCACGAGACAGAACTTTTAAGACAAGGTAGGTTTAATTTTAATTTCCATTGTAAAAGTATTCAATAGTCTTATTGTAAAAAGAAAATAAATTAATTTATGGGATATTACATTTTAGAATTACGCAAACGCGAATCTGACAATGAACGCAAGAAAATGGAATGGGAAATGCGTGAAAAACAAGCTGAAGAATTGCGCAAACGTGACGAAGAACAAATGCGTCGCCAACAAAGTGAAATGCAATCTCGCATGTTGCGTCAAGAAGAGGAAATGCGTCGCCGCCAACAAGAAAACACATTGTTCATGCAAGCCCAACAATTGAATTCTATTTTAGATCAGCAAGAAGGTGGCTTTAGTGGAAATTGTAGCAATTTCGATAACTTTGGCGGTGGCAATAACTCGCCATTCGATTTCCGTGGTAAGTTTTTAACATTAAATACAAACCTAATGGCAATTATTATTATTATTATTTTTTTTTTTTTTTTGTACAAAAATATGAAAAATTTTTATACAACATTTTTATTTATGAATTATTTGTTTTCATAGGCAACAATGGTGGTAATGGTGGAAATAATGGTCCCAATGGACCTAATAACCAACAGGTACGTTCATTTTTCAATATGTTCAAGAGGCGATAAATATGCAAAAAATGATTTCTTCAATATATCATTATGATACTCTAAAAACAAAGAAACTATACAGTTATTAGATATTCTTAGGCCTTTTACAATGCCTTTTTAAATTCCTGTTATTTTGAACATATACTAAACCATTAATTTATTTAAAGACAAAACACTGTAACTGTGATATTGTATATTATTGATCACACATTATTGATTGAATTTTGAATTTAAGAGGCACAACTAAACATATTCATGTTAAGATATTACAGCGTTATTTACGATTGTAAAATTTCATTTTTTTAATAACTGCCACTTGTATTTGTTAATTAGAAAATAATTTCTTAACAATTTTTCTTGTTAATACAAAATATAATTTAAGTCTGAAAATAATTCTTATTCTAAAAACAAACTGTAGAAGCTCATTGAAAATTTGTGTGATTGATTAAACAAATTTAAAATACATAATGTTCTTTACAAACATACATCTTTTTATATAAATTATAAACTGTTTTTTTGTTAGTACACTATTATGTACAATAAATAAACATGTCGTTTATTAAATGAAACAATTTATACAAAACTGTCGAATTTAACATGAGAAATGCAATAGTTGTTAATTTTTAGTTTGTTGTTGTTATTGTTTGTCTGTAACAACGAATGTTACAAGTTAAATCACATAGTTTGTTGCATCACACTTTTTTACATCCATTTGGGCAACATTTTGGCCAGAAATGTTGTTTCCAAATTAAGTTAAAAAGAAATTTTATCATTTTGGCCAATGATACTATTTCTCTCTTTAACTTATAGCTCGTGTGTGCGCCCCAATTAACTTGTACGATTTTATTGATCATTTGTGGTTAGAGATTTACATGACGATAACAATATTCATAATGGCTCCGTCCAATTTAAAGGACATAACTGCCACTATTATGTATTTTTACGTATATTTGAATGGAAATTGTATTGTACTAACAAGAATGACAAAAGTAACTTGAAAATATTTGACTCTTCAAAATGTTTTATTGAATTTGTTTATGGAATTGATTGCTTTGGGTTGTTGGGTTTAGTAGAATATTAATTATTAATTGCTGATTATATAATTCTGCAATTAGATGTTAATTGATTTTTGAATATTACATCTAAAACAGATGTTTATGCAAAATCTTTAGGTAGGATATTGCTTTAACTTTTAATTATATACGATTGATTTTTATACCAATATTGTGTTTTTATTACTAATTAATATTATAGAACTTTATATAAAGATTCCGTTGTTAAATTAATTGTATTTAACTTTGGATGTATTAAAATTTAAGGAAAATATTTTATGAATAAATTTATACAATGTGTGTATAATCTGATAAATGGTGGAACATTGTTCTTTCTATTTTTGCATTTTCAATGCATTTTATATTGTTGATATATTTAGGAAGATAAATATTGATTAAAGAAATAATTATGATTTTATTCAACATGCAAATACTTGATAACGTCGAGCCAAAAAAGCGAAAAAGTTTAAGCAAAATAATATTAAATTTGGTGTTTCACTCGAAGAATACTTGTTTTGTTCTTAAGCTTTTTCACTTTCAGTGTTCTATTCTGGCAATAATAATGTCAAACGTTTGAAAATTTATGTTATCAAGATTTCATAACATATAAATTAATTTGGAAATAAGGTTGAAATACCTAATTTTCAAATCTCATTTAATGTTATACCCAAATTGAGTTGGAATATTCGTGGTTTTTAATTTTGTTAAAGTTTTATTCATAAACTAATTTTTATTTTATTGAAACTACCAATTCGGTATTTACAAAAAATCTGTACTAACGAAAATAGCAGGGTTTATCCTTCACGTAAAACACAATCATCTAAATGCCTTTACCTGCGTAGTAAAAACAACATTAATATTTTAAAGTTACTATTACTATACTCATAAAATATGTTTGGTATATTTTCTTAAATTGAGAAAGATTTCAAACCTTTATCAACGATTCTCAAACGTTTGACATTAAAATATATTTGATTTCAAATAATTTTTATATTTGCTGGATGAAAATGTTTGGCTTGTGTTTGTTTGATTTTTGAGGATAATGTTTTTGAATCTACCATATTACTGTTATTATTGATTATCTGTATATATTTATATACACAATTTATTTTATAAAACTGCAGTAAAATATTTTTTATGAATAAGGGTGATGATGGGGGAATAGAAATTGATATTTCGATAAATATTGAATCTTATAATATTAAATTGTATTGATGAAATCCAAATTTGTGGAAAATATTTTGTATATGAAAAAGTGTGAAGCATGTCAATAGAATTTACTAGCTTAGGTATTTTGAAATCAACTTTGTTAGATGTGAAAATATTTAAATAATAATTATGGTTTTGAATTTATCAACTGTATTATTAAAAAACGAAACTATTGATTGGGGAAGACGGGGGGTATTTACATTTAATGTTGTAATGAATTGTTTATATTTAATACGCAATTCTATATATTGATTTGGTATATTATGGAACACAATACTGGTCTTAAAAAAAGCAAATTTTAATGAATATACATAATACGTACTTGAATGTTTGCTCTAACCGTATTGCGGGAGAGATGGTTTGGTTTTAAAGCATATAAACAAAAATAACATAGTAAACTTTATAAAAACATTTTTGTTGTTTTTAGGGAAATGTGCAATTGAAATTAAATTGTTGACTTATTTACTGGTACATATTTTTGATAAATTAAAGGATTATTTAGAACATTTTGATACCTATATTAACTGATTCTCATTACATTGATTTTGAAAAACTGTCTGAACATTATAATTATTTGCGCCCGTGTTACTTTTGAGATGAATAATATTTGATCTATTCTATTATTGAACAATAAACATTTTGAATTGGGTTAACATTTTCAAGTATTTGTTTGGTATTAATATAATTTCCTAGATTCTCTTCTCAACTTTAAATATCTCACTTATGATAACAACGATAGTAAAAAAGAAACAATAATTCAGTATTTATTTTGTTTAGTAAAGTAACGAAATCTTTTAATATTTTGTTTTGGTTTAGTTTTTTGGTTTTATTTTTTTTCTATTCTTTTCTTATGATTTCAATTTTTTTGTTGTAATTTTTGAAATATAAATACATAAATGTATATTTTTTTACCACATCAAACAAACCTTTAAATTTGCATCCTCCATATAGGATTTCGGATTTGAATTCGGTGGGAACCAAAACCAAGGTGGTCCCGATGGTGGCAATAATCGCGGTGGCAATCAACGAGGTGGAAATAATAACAATGGTGGTGGTGGTGGTAACAACAACCCCTGGGAACGCCGTAGACGTTTCTGAGATGAAATGAGTGATGAACCACAAATGTTGCTACAATAATGGAAAAATATTTAAAGACACACAAACAACAATGAAACAAATATATTGAACAATTTTCGGGAACCCACGTTGATGTTGAATGAATATTATTCACATGAAATTTAAATCAACAATAAGAAACACTCTCGTCGTATAGATAACACAAAAATAACTTAAATATTTCACATCTCTCTCTTATTAAGAACAACAAACAATTAAAATTACCAACTACTCTGCCTACCACCAACCATTAACGATCTCTTTTATAATGGGAGGGAGATAGAATGTGGCTGCTGTGGTTGGCAGTGTAGTGATGGTAGTGAAATTGATTACAAGTGAATGAATTTTTCACTTTAACATACATATTTGCAAAACAAATCTTGCTTAAAATTATTATAGTATTTTAGTATTTAGGTATTTTATATTTGAGAATAATTTGAAAAACTTTAATCCATCCCATTAAAATATCTGACTGAAGTGGTGATGGCAGATTGAGCAGCTGCTGCGTTTTCTCAATGTGTACAAAAGCACATTGTAGAAAATGTGTCAACGCCACCACTCTTCAGCCAATGTTTTAGCCAGATTTTGTGGACATCTATTCTATTTTTGTTTATGTTTATTTCTCTCTATCAAATATTTTGATTGCGATGGCATGTTTTATTTTACATAAAACTGGGTATTCCATGTAAACATCTATTGGAATGAAGAACCCCACTTTAGTATGTTCTTTATACTAATCGCAATGTCATCTGTACATCGAAAGAAGAGTATGTGTAAACTAACAGAAATATCATTTCTATTAAGAATATACATAATTATTAATGTGTATAGATTAATTCAATTAAATTTATAACTCTACTACAACTTACAATAGTAATAACATTTTAAATCTCCTCTTTAGTTTTAAGTATTAAAAAAACACACAAATTGAAGAAGAAAAACAAACATATTTTTGAATCCTCCCACATTATTTGGTTAAAGAAAACATAATTTGGTAGAAAAAAACACTGAATTCTTGTGCATCTAATAGGTTGCCTTGATGAAGGTGTTTGAAAATTTTTATTTTTCGTAATTTTTGGACTGTATACTTTTTAAGAACACTGTCATTTGTGTAAATTTTAATTTTAATTGGTAGACATTACTTATAAAACATGTCTTAATTATAAAAAACTTAATATTTATATTAAACAAAATAACAAACATATTTTACTCAAAATTATATGAGTATTTTAAAATAAATAATATAAATCTTTGTTTCTATTATGAATGGTTGGCTGCTGCGGGGATTGAATTTTGTTAATTCAATCAATTTTATGTTTTACAAAATATATCTGTCAATTTTTGTGTGTGTATGTGTGTGTGAGCGAGTTTAAAACTTGGCTATTATGCAAAGTGTTGAGGAAACATGTTTATTATACATTAAACATTTTTACTATTATTTGATATTAGGAAATTGGATTTGAAACTCTTATTACAACTACTAACATTTTGAATTTTGATTGAAAATATTTATTATTTAGAAATAAAGAAAAACTTTTAAAAATGTTGTCTAAAATACTGCTATCTGCAAAAATCATTAACTTATTATTTGTGTTCGATTTAAAGGTCAAGAACATTTTTTTTTTTTTTTCAAAAAAAATCATATTTCTTATCAAACTATGTAAAAGTAATTTTAACGCAAATTGATGCTTGGGGGGACACGATGCTTAAATTATTTCATATATACTTGCAAAAATTAAAGGGAAACATTCCATTTCTGAAATTCTGTATTATTTTTATCTTTGTCATTTTTAATGCTTTTAAATTACTTTTAATCAAATGGTACCTATCATTTTTTAGGAGTATGATGATTTCATCGAAAAATATACACTGAAAATAATCCATGTCTAATAGATTGTCATAAATTTCACGAAATGTTTCGTGAGTTAAGTTAAATTTTTGTAAAATGTGTGAATATTACGAACAAATTTCAACTTTATAATACAAGAAGGTTTTTCAATATCTAAAAATTATTTTGATACAATTTGATTTATTTTCGTTAAATATCAATTGAGGCATGGTTTACTTTGAGTGTATAACGATAACATGTTCGCGTTGAGAATAAGATAACTATTAGTATGAAAGATATTTTCATGATTGTAAAATGTTTGACATTGAATTATATTAGTTGGTATTGTGATAGTCTGTCAGCACTGAGGTTGTGGGTTCGATTCCCAGCAGAGTCTTTGGTAAAGGAGAGTACAACAAGCCCATTGTGGTATAACATACATACATTCTCCTCTCAAATTATTTAAAAATTTTTAATTCCTTATCTCATCTCAGATTTTGATGTACAATATGTATTTTTTAATATTACAAATACATATGTATGTATGTGGAGGAAATGAGGTCGATTTGAGATTTATCTTACCATCGTAGCTCTTTAGTAGTTTATTAGTTTATGTGGATGTAGGAGAAAGTTATTTTAGTCAATTTTACTAGTAATTTGATTGAATTTAGGGAGTTGTTGTAATATTATTCATATGGTATATGTCAACGATTTGTGTATGTGGTATTGTGCGAAATATATATTTTTCTGTTTTAAAGTTTAGTCATGCAAGCAAAATAAGAAATATTGAAATGAATGAGCTCATGCCGCTGATGTTGGTTTTAGAGACTGGAGTGTTTGGTATATAAGAATTTTTAATTTGATTTTATATCGTGGACTTTGGATGAACGAACAATTTTTGAATTAACAAACTGAAGCTGAGATGTTTTTCTCAATATTGCAATGCATTTTTAACAATATCTGATGTCTATCAACAACTACTACAACTTTTTAAATATCTTCTAATATAAACTATGTTTTTATTTGAAATTGAGGTAAGATTAATAAACATGCGCATTTTTTAAAATATAATAAAAAAAACAGTTTGGCTTTTTTCATATTCTTTGACGTTATTTGGAAAATAACTGGCAAGCCTTATAGGCGAATGTTGGTTCTTTTAAGTAAAGTGTGATTAAAAACAAATATATTTTTTAATATTGTTTTAAATTTTTTACACAGCTATTATTAACCATATTTGTTTTAATTCAAATGAAATAGTCTTGTATAAATTTATCAGTCAAAAAAAGTCAAACTGTTTTAAGAATTTGTATGATTAATTAACTAATTAAGAAAGTTTCAGGACTTTAATAATTTTTGTACAACAATATGTTTGTGCATATCTTCAAGATATTATTATCTTACAATTCCTCCCTCTTGCTTACTCAGATATGCCTCTTCTTGTGTGAATACGAAAATAATTATTTTTATGAACAATAATTTAAGGGGTATTTTTTAAAATATGTAAGGGGTTGCAAAAATACTTTACAATAGATTTTTATTTGATTAACCCCCATTTTCTCAATGTCTGGTTATTTTTTAACCTAACCTAAAAGTTTTCCTACAAAAGTTGTTCTAACCGACAGAATAACAAATAGTTAAGCGATAACCGCAGGTGGAGAATGGGGTTTATTCATATTTTTGGTTATAATATGATAACAAAATTACTACTTAAAACTTTACGGCATATCTGAGATTTGTGTATTTTCTTAAACTTTTGTTTAAAACAAATTAAATTATTAAGAATTAATCTTTACACTTACAACTTCTACTGGTGCTTTTGAAGCTACAATTCGAATGTTGATCTGATTGAAAACACATTTGTAATACTATTCAAGCCTTTTTTAAGATACTTATTTCGAATATAACAATATAAATGCAATAAGTAATGCATACGATTTTTGTTGTGAAATTTTCAATACTTGTTATGTTTAAGAAAGTTGTGAAATTGAATAAAAATATTACTTCGTGAATGAGGTCAAGGTTTATCTAGATATAAATTCTTCTGTCATAATCATAGCGCTACATTATGCAAATATTTTATGTAAAATTGTAACCACAATTTTTTCCTAGGAATGGATTGTCTTACAAATAATTTGTAAAATAGAAACAACTAAATTGTTTTAAGAACAACAAACTTTTTGCTAAATTATAATTGTTTACAACAATTGGGAATGATGATTATATTAAACACTCTTAGGCTTGAATAGTATGCAAAATGTGTAGGAGATCTAATAATTTATAATCTACATAAAATGTTACATAAATTTATAGATTTTTTTATAATTTTTCAGAGATTTGTTGGAAACATTTAACTTTTGCTGATTCCTATCACACAACATGATTAATTCTGGTCAATGACAACATGGGATTGAATATATAAAAGGTAAATATATGAAAATATTTAAGTTTTATTTTTGTAAATTATATCAACTTAAATTCAAACTTTTTCAAAACTTTGCATGACATATTCAAATGATTATAACATCGGATCTAATTACTGAATTACCTTACCTTACAATAATCGTGTTTGATTTAAATTTTATGATTTAACTTAAAATAAAAACTAAAATTTTGAAAAAACATTTTCATCAAACATATACTAAATTCACATATTTTTGTATTACAGGTTTTTAAAGGCCCTTGAACATGTAACAAATTGCTGCCGTTTAGTAAAAGGTAAATCTAACTCTGAAAATATTTAAAAAGTTGCATTAAATATTTTTACAATTTACTCCCAATTATCAATGATTATAACTACGGATCTAATTCCTGAATATAACCTTACCTTACAAATTATATTTCATGTTGACAATAACGTCATGAGATTTCAATGTAACTTTTTAATGAAAAAAATTCATAAAAAATATACATTTTTGACACATTTTTATATTTTTTTATTACAGTTCCAAATGGTCATGAAAGAAGGGATATATCAAATGTCTCTATTTGAAAGAAAAGGTATTTATTGTTATTTTATCTATTTATATTTAATATAAGAATTAAAGGAGAGAATTACTTTTAAATAAAAAAATATTAGAATTATTTTGCAATGTTTCCTTCATATTCCTCCTAATTTATCAGTGATTATAACTACGGATCTAATTCCTGAATATAACCTTACCTTACAAATTATATTCCATGTTGACAATAACGTCATGAGATTTTAATACAATATTTTAGTTCATAAAATTTATAAAAATAATGAAAGTTATTAACATATTTTTATTTACTAATTGCAGTTTTAACGGGTCAGAGATTATAAAACATGGGAAAAACATGCAATAGATCCTGAAAGGTGTGTATATCTTTAATAATATATTATTAACTTCTAGAGAGAGAAATTACTGTAAATAAACTTGTTTAATCGTTATTTATTTTTAATTTAAATGTGAATTTTGCAAAAAGAATAACTTTTTATTTGTTACTCGCTTAGCCATGTTCTATTTAAAACATCTCTCTTTTATTTGTAAATGAGGACAAAAGTTACCGTATGATCAAATAATGACTATACAAATTCGGCTGCACAATTTTTGTGTTCTGATCACGTTAAATTATTATTATAATAAACTAAATATTTGTGTATGATTATATATTTAATAATCATTGCTTTCTTTACAGATTTTATAATTTTGGATATCATCTAAAACGTATGGATGGACTGGACTGACTGGAAATAATGCAGCTGTTTTTTGCTGTATTAAAATCAGGTAAATATTTTTCTTTAAGTATGTGTACAAAAATTGAAATCTGTTCAAATTCGTATCAAATTAAAAAATAGAGTTTTGAAATTAAATAATACAAGAAAATAAAGATATTAAAGATTAGATTAGAAAATAAACGTTATTAGAATTAATATGTATAACTTTCAAATCGATTTATTCAGTTTTAACTTTTTTCGAAATTTATATTTTCATTTGTAAATGAGGACAAAAGTTACCGTATGATCAAATAATGACTATACATTGACGGCTGCACAATTTTGTGTTCTGATCAAATTAATACACAATTATAACAATATATATATATATATATATATTTGTTTTCGATTAAATACTTAATAATCATTCTTTTCTTTTCAGAAACTATCTTACAAATAATGCAGCTGTATTTTACTTTCTCGAAATCAGGTAAATAAATTAAAGAATAATACATTTAATTAAAATAAATTTAAACTTTGATGTAGTTTTTTCTTATTAAAAGAACTCTTGCAAATTGATCTTTTTCTAAATCTGTATTTTTATTTGTAAATGAGGACAAAAGTTACCGTATGATCAAATAATGACTATATACTTTCGGCTGCACAATTTTTGTGTTCTGATCAGAAAAATAAAATACAAATATTATTAGAACATGTTATTATTTTAGCAAATCCCTTTCTAAATACATTTTACTTCTTTTTTTAGATGCAGACAATTGTTTTTTGTGGAACTATATAGTTTAATTTTGGATTTTAACAATTAAGGTATGTTCTGAAATCAATTTAAAAATAAAATATAAACTTTAATTAACGTGTTGTTTCTAGATAAAGTGCGAGTTCTTTGAGTAAGAATTTTACTTGTATTTTGTTTTTGTTACAATAACAAAATACGAGTAAAATTTTTACTGAAAGTACTCGCACGCTATCTAGATACAACACATAAAACATTTTTTGTTTGACATCATTCATGTAAATGAGGACAAAAGTTACCGTATGATCAAATAATGACTATACATTATCGGCTGCACATTTTTTGTGTTCTGATTACATTATTAAAGTAGAAATATTTTTAAAATCTTTTTTGTATTTATAAAAATTTTCATCTAAATATCATTTTCCTGTTTTATTTATTACAGCTAAAGCAATTAAAGCTATCTCCAACTGATTTTTGTGGAACTATGTGATCTTACTTTAAATTCCATCAACACAAACTTGAAATGTTAAGGTATGTTGAAAAGAAGATTAAAAAAACTTTAAAAATGTTTTTTGGTGATGATATTAATTGGTCCGTGTTTATGAATTTATTTTGATTATAAACTTTCCAATTACTGAAAAAAACTAAAATTATTATTCTTCAGTTCAAAATAGTAGAAGTTAAAATAATGTATTCATTAATTTGAATTTCATTAGAAATTTCGAAATGATTTCTTCTGAATCGAAATGCACAATAATTCCAAACATGTTTCTTAATTTTTCAAATATTTATTTTTTTGTATATATTTCTAGTTATTGAACTGTTGAATAAGTAAAAAAATATATATTTTTTAAATATGTATCGCTCTTATCAAATAATTATTTTATTTCTTAATTTTAGCAAAACACTAATTGTGCTTCCAAAATGTACCAGAATAAACGTGGTTGAAAAAGTAAGTAAATTTTTCTTTTTTAACAGAATTGCAAGTTCTCTAAATTTTAAGAAGTTTCATTCATTCATATCATATGATATGAAACTTCACAATTTTATAATTTATGAAAATTAAAATCTTGTGTGAAACCCTTGTGCTCCCCATAATTCGTATATAGTTGCAAAAAAAAAGTATTGACATTAGAATGATTAGAATGATGATATTAATTGGTCCGTGTTTATGAATTTAAATTGATTTTAAATCCTCCAATTACTGAAAAAAGGAATTTAAAATATATATAAAAGTAAATATTATGACAAAAATTAATTATAATTTTTTTTCTTTTTTTTTTAGATTTTCTGGTTATGTCTCTGATGTTTTCCAAAAAATGTGGATCTTTAATAAATAATGTAAGTTTAGTTCTTCATATGTATTATGAATACAATTTTACGCTTTTATATGCAAAACATTATTGTAGACTTAGTGATGATATTAATTGGTCCGTGTTTATGAATTTAAATTGATTTTAATCCATCCAATTACTGAAAAAATTTATTCAAAATATGTTTTATTTTCTTTAAATTTATTATAAGATATCTAATTTTTATTCTCTTTATTTTTTAGATTTTCTTTTATTGTCCTGAGGAGTTGCAAGAAAATTATTGTGGGATCTAAAAAATAATGTAAGTTTTTAATGTTTAATGTTTTGTAGAAATTTTTTAAATTAAATTGAAGCTAACATTTTAGTTACATAAAATGATGATATTAATTGGTCCGTGTTTATGAATTTTAATTGATTTTAAACTCTCCAATTACTGATTTAAAAATTCAATAATAATTTTCTGATTACATTTTATCTTTATTAATCTTTTTTAATAAAAATTTTCTTTTATTTTTACAGAATGATCTTACAGCCAAATAATTGGATGGAAAAGAATATAAAATTAAAGAGTTTACATAAATTAAATATTTCCTATGATAATTCCAAACTATGATTTTTTGAAAATACATAAATACATCTGTGGTCGAATTAGTGCGTACGTGATGGCTTTCGCATCGAAATCACATTTCAATATCGAAATTTATCTAATAACGGCCAAACATTGTCAACCCAGCGACAGCTGTAGGTTAGGTTAGGTTTTCTCAGGTAGCCAATTTTCGGCTTTACTTGGGTCCATGTTGATCCCTTTGTAAAAATACCTGTAAGAAAAAGAAAAGAGAAGGAGAAATAGGGAAGAGTGGAAGAACAGAGACAGTTGCAAAGAGAAGGAGATGATGAGAAATGAGAAAGCCAGGGCAGCTGCCGTGGATGAGTAGTGTGAGTAATAGGATTCACACCCATTTTGACAAATTAATGAACTCTAGTAGACGTTATAATTGAATGTTTGACAATTCGGTTAGATCACCAAAATAGGTCGATCCAAGCGTCCGAAAACGGGCCTCCGCCAAAGCAGGACAATCGCAGAGAAGATGAGTAATAGTCTCTTCTTCATCCTCGTTTTGACAACTCCTACAGTAATCGTTGAACGGGAGACCAATGCGTCTGGCATGGTTCCCAAATTTACAGTGGCCAGTGATTATCGATATCAGCCTACTTAACTGCGGTCTTTGGAGACCAAGAAGATATTTAGACCTTTGAGGATCGATCTATGATTGATTTGTAATCCGTGAGAAATTAAATCGTTAATTTTTGATTAAATTTATTTTACTCGCAATACTTCTTAACACATTATTTTGAAACAAAAATCTTTCAAATTATTACACAATATGTTTGTAACTGTACTTCAAACACATCATCAATTTACATTTTCATAAACAAGTTGTTAGTGTTTATCAGTGAAACAAAAATCTTTGATTTATGTAAACTCTTTTGTTTTATTAAATTTCGTATTTTGGTGAATGAAATAGGTAAGTGTGTTTTATTTAACAACTACAAACTATTATTTTTAATACTTTTTATGATGATAATATTTAATTATGTCTTCTTTTCCCGACATAATATTCATTTTGATGATAATATCAAATCTGATTATAAAACAACAAGTAATAAATGGATGAGAAAATGTTTCTAATGTTTATGTTTAATTTAATCGAATTTTATTCATAAATAGTTAAACATTTTTAAATTAATACCGTTAATCGTGAGAAAGCTTTACAGTCAAACCTGAACCAATCGTCCGAGATTAGACAGAGCTTCGCCCTGTCGCTCAGACGGGTATTAGAAAAATTCTTTTTTAGAAGTCCTTTATGGCTAAAGTAGTCAATTGGTTTTGAATTAAAATTTGTAATATTAAATAACTTGTTTGTTGTTGTAATTTATAAAATATTGTTGAACTAAATTTAGATTTTTTTAATTAAATGTTGCTTTTCTCTATTATTTTACAGCAATTAACATAAACCTTTTAAGATTTGTCTTTAATTAATTTTGGAATTATGGAATTCACAAAGGTAAGTGTTTAATATTATAATTTTTAAAAGTACAACTCGGTTATAATTTATAAAAAGTACAAAACGTTATAAAATTGAAATTTCTTTTTAAAAAGAAATTTTAATTAAATATTCTTTATAACCGGGAATTACTTTACTTCTAGTTTATAATATTTTATGATGATAATACTAATTATGTCTTCTTTTCCCGACATAATTAATATACTTTTGATGATAATATAAAAACTGATTATAAAACAAACAACAAGTTAATGGATAATAATCGAAATCCAACGAATTTCATGGTGGTGTTGCCAGTGATTCCATCTTAAATAGTTAAATTTTTTTAATGAAAAACTCTAGTAAAAAATTGTTTTCGTGAAAAAGCTTTACAGTCAAACCTAAGCCAATCCCACAAGCTTAGATAGAGAGTGCATCGTCCTAAAGGACTTCTAAAACAAAAAGTCCTTGCAGTCAATTCTTTGGCCAATTCAATTACAAATTTAGAATTAAATTTTTACATATCAAATTACTTGTTTGTTGTATTTTTTAAAATAATATTCAAAAATTCAAAATTAAGAATTTTTAATTAAATGTTTTTTTTCTCTATTATTTTACAGCTATTAACCAAACCTTTCAAGATTTGTCTTTCATAAATATGGAGTTCACAAAGGTAAGTGTGTGTATTACTTTACTTCTACTTTATAATATTTTATGATGATAATATTAATATATGTCTTCTTTTCCCGACATAATTAATTTACTTTTGATGATAATATCAAATCTGATTGTAAGCTTAAACAAGTGAAATTTTAATTATGCAGTATTGTTTTCTATGTAAATGTTTTATTGTTCCAAAAACAACAACGCCTTAATATTTATGTAATTTAAATTCTTTTTAATGACACGAGATGAAATACTCGTTCAAACATTTACTTTATTTAGATTTTTAACAACATAATTACCGCTCAATATTAATTTAAGAATCCGGCTTCCTGCACAGAAAAAACTGAAAAACGATTTCAATTACCAAAACCTCGTTTTCAATTATTTTATTTTTTGAAGTTCAACCTATAACAAAAATTGTATATTCAATTACTACTTATAATTGATTTTGTACACAAAATTTTTATTTTTTTCTATTTTTGTTGTTGTTAAATACGTATTTGATTATACATTTTTATGAATCAAATACAAAATGAATTGAACCCTTTTAAAATTTTTGATTAATCGTTTAATTGAAAATTTTTTAAAATTAATTTTTTCTGTGTGTGTAATTAAATATTAACATTTTACTTGTTTTATGTTTTAAAATTCTATAAAAAAAAACATTTTTCTATATTGGATTTGCATTAATTTTATTTTTCTTTTTTTTTGCAGGTATGTATGTACTATCAAAATATCGATTTAAGGAAATGGGATGGATGACATTCAGATTTTTTGACATTCATTATTTTTCTATTTTATTTATAGTTTAAAATTATTTTAGAAAATAAAATATAAAAATTAAATTAACTCATCTGTGTATATTTTTATTTATTTTCATTGTTTATTGCATGGTATAAAATGTAATATTGGTTTTAATATTCTAAGCCTAGACGTGCCGTTCCTCTCGTTATAATGTTCAACATTAGTTGTAATTCTCCATATGATTCCATAGACAAACCTGGAAAGAAATTTCAGAACCATTAAAGTCAATAGGATTTTAAAGAGAACATCATTTCCTCTCTTAATAAAAAGTGAGCCTGTTTGGAAATGTATCTTTGTGCTACATCTGATGTCTAGTACGTTCGTAAATGCATCAGAAATATGTATATGATGCGCAAAAATCTTATTTTCATTTATAAATTTTAAAAAAGACGTCTTTTGTCTATATATCCGCTTATTTTCATCAGCATTACGGACTAATCACTGAATGCAGTGCATTGATGCATTTCTGAACAGACCGTATGGCCTGCGCGGAATGTACGTTCGGAAATGCATTACAGAAATTTGGATGCATCGCAAACTAATCAGATGCAGTGCTGGGTGAATTTCTGAACAAGTCCATAATTTGAGAATTTCATTCCTAAAGAAAGTTGTATTATGCTATTATCCATATTTTGATTTTAAAGAAAACAAGTTGAGTTAAACAGAACTACTTTTGCTCTTTATGTGCAATTGAAAATTAGATTAGTGAACAGAATTCACTCAATGTCGATAAATGATTACTAAATCGAGCATAAAACCGATAACCTTATAATTAGACCAATGTATGTTTTTCGTACTTTTTAAATCCATATCCGGTAATGGTTGGATGCTAATTTTTAAGCTTGAATCTTTTTTCTACGCCATTTCGGACTTCATTTCAGTCTTTTCTAATTTACTGAATTTCTAAATGTTTTTGAGAATTTAATTAATACGGAAATATACTTTTTCAAACACATTTAAAAATACAGATTTACGAATACAAATTGATTGAATCTTCTGTAATATATTTGAAACTTAGAATGTTGTAAAAATTAGCAATGATTTGAAAACTGTTACCTTTACTTTTAGAATTGTCTAATAAGACTTTTGTATCTTTTAGTTCTGGATTGCGACCTGTCAGCCAAGTAGTCACATCGGCCAACATGTTACTGCAGCGGGGTTTTAATATGGGCGCTTTAATACTATAATTTGTGACATTTCCAAATACGGGCAAATGAACACGACTGTAACCTAGAGAGGTTTCTATGCCCCAACGTGTTTTACCATAAATGGATATCAGGAGTTGAGGCCCTAAAGAATAAATTAAACCAAATCTGTTTAATAATCAAAAAATAATTGAAACCGATCGAAAACTTACATCCAAATGAGTTCGTACTGCGATAGGTTTGTTCTATTGGCATATTGAATATAATGGGATCATTAAAGTTGCCATTATGATTGGAAGCAAATTGTGTTATACCCTTGCTGTGTCCACTAACGAGTTCCCAATCGGGACCAGCCACACTTTCATAACGGCAAAATATTTCCGACGCTTCTGGTCCCAGTGGAAATGTTGCTGATTCTAATTGTCCGGTAATGAAAATATTAAAGTAACTTGCAGCTGTAGTATTCGACTCCATTTTTAAGAAATTTTATTTGATTTTGTGTACGTTTCTAAGTGGATGGATTTATTTCCGTTGCTGTGACAACTCGTATAATTGTTTTAAATAAATGAAAGGTTGGCAATTTGGTAAGTTTTAAATTTCACATAAATATAAAATTTTCTGGTAACATTGTTTCTTCCATTGCCGCTAGTGTTGCCAGAAAAATTTCAACTTATTTCCCCATTTTTAAATTGAAATTAACATAGCATACAGACAGTATTGTCAGAAAAATTTTGACTAATGTCCCCAATCTTAGGCTGGAAGTCCCCAAAAATTTTTAAATTAAAAAAAAAATTTTAATTAATTTTTCCTAAAAAGCATTATCATGTCTCAGCGAGACATGTTGTCCCACAAACTGCTTCATCTGGTAGTCAGTGTAAAATTAAACCAATAAAAGGTGTCTTTGATAAGTGTACATTTAATCATAGATGGCGCAATATAACATTGCTTATTTGCTGCGTTCAACACACAAACACGCATATTTTTTTCAATCTTGGAAAAAAATTTGTTCACGGACCCCTCCTCTATCTTATTGAAAAACTTCATATAAAAAAAAGTAAATTTTTGTGCAAGTTCGCAAATTTGTTGAAATGGTAGGGAAGTATTTTTTGAAAGATAGTATGAATAAAAAATGGCGCATTTTTTGTTGTGTTGTTTTTTAATTGCCATTTGTCAGAGTAAAATTAATATGATGATATTCAGAATAAATATCTTTTATATAAACATAAATCCTTATACCAAATTGTATGAGGATAGGCCCATATTTAGCCCTATCCCCCATATAAAGCATCCTTCAGAAATAAGTTTTTGAACAATATTGTATCAAGAAAAAGACCAATAACGTCGTCAATTGCTAACGTTTTACTCATGAATAAATATGGGTTTCTAATCAGTTAATAAATGGTACGGTTCATATATAAAATACTTTCATAAAACATCTTCAAACTTGGACAACGGTGCAAAACTATAATAAAAAATATGTTTGCTGGTGAAACTCACACATATCTCACCAGGTTAATTAAATGTTATACATGTCATTATAAAGGCATCAGCATCTGCTTTCTAAATCCGTGGAGAAACTTAAAATCGGTTCAGATTCAACTAAAGGGCCCCATACACAACACCAGCATGCTGGCACAATCAAGTGATTGTGCAAGCCGATTGAACGTGTTGTGGTTGTGGTACGATTGTGCCATCTGATTGTGTGATATCAAAATTAATTTGATATTTTTGTGATTGTGCCAGCATGCTTGTACTGTGTATGGCGAAATTTGCTCATTCAAATACAATTTTTTGAGCAATAATCATAGTTTGTCTATGGAATCTAAAAGAAAAATATTTTGGGGATAATTGTTATTTGCCTACGGATCGGTTTCACGCTTGTGGTAAACAAAATAGGTCAGTTCTTTGCAAATATTTGTATTATTCGCAACGACCTTTACCACACAAAATTTAAAAAAAAAAATAATATTGTACAAGCATGCTGGTGTGATATATGGGCCGAACATGAAAGCTCAATCAAATTATTGTGCCATCATGCTGGTGTTGTATATGGGCCCTTTAAGTTACTGACTTATAGGTGCTTAAAGGTACGAAAAACCGGGTTTTTACCCGTAACTCAAGATTTTGGAGGTGTTTGGCAAATTTCAAAAACATATTCTTGTTCTACTCGGATCCACCTTTCATAAAAATAGTATCACTTCCCAGGTATTTCAATTTTCGTTTATTTTGTCTCACTGTGTTATTTAACTAAAATATAATATTCTTGAAATCCCCTAATGGTCACATTTTTTACATGTGATCGCTGGGACTATATTTTAATTTTAGTGTTAGTATTAGAAAAATCGAAGTTATCTTCTTTTGATATGTACTTGACTCAAACATGTTTTTGAATTTATTATTCTTATGTAAAAACAATATTTTTTTTCTCAAACACATAGCCATTAATTTGAGACCAAGATTAATAAAATCGAACAATTTATTTAGAAATTATACGATATTAAACTTCATGTCTTTGAGAAAAAATGAGAAATAATCTAAAAACTATCGATTTTGAAAATTCTTTAGAACCTATTTTTCTATTTATTCAAAGAGTGTGTGTACCAAATTTCTCCAAATCGGAGAGTGTAAGGTGCGAATGGTGTTTGAAATATTTAAAAACGACCCTTATATAAAAAAACTAAACTAGATTGAAAATAATTATTAATATTTATAAAAATAAAAAATAAAAATCCCCAAAATAGCGTAAAATTATAAAAAATCTCCAAATTTTACGAAAATCTGTCCTCAAGTAAAACTTGAAATCCCCACATCTGGCGACACTGCATACAGATGAAAAAAATTTGACATTTATTGAAACCACAAATATGTTCACAAATCCCCAGCAAAAAAAGAACTTCCAAAGAAGCGAAAAAGAAGTAGAATTTACTCCATGGAAGTACTGAAAAAGTTCTGAAGAAGTGATGATTTTAACACAGGCTTGTCATAGGAGGGATGTCCTTTTTATTTGACTCCAAATTCACTACTTCTGAAGTCATTCCCAAGAAGTAATTTTAATGCTCTTTTTTGGAACTTATTCGGAAGTGATATTGTAGTATTATAGAATAAAACCAATTTGACTTAAATAATATTAACATTAATTAGGGTATTAGACACATTTAATACAAAAGCCCAAATATAAAAGTTTATAATTATAAAAATGAAAGAACAAAAAATATATATTCAATATTTAAAAAAATAGAATTATTTTCGCTTCTTCGGAAGTCTTTAAACATCACTTCCTCTGAAGGTAAAAAATTCAATTAGTGCCACTTTTGAAGTGAAAATTACATTTTCTGCACATTTTACTGCCAACGTTGAAAGATCTAACAACCGTGTATACATAGCTTTATAAACACAAATATCGCGATGAAATTCAGCACAATAAAATATTTTGTAAATATAAATATATTCACAAAATTTTATCGGGCTTGGTCCATATTAGCCCCTAGCCCTCATATAAAGCCTCTTTCAGAAAATTAGTTTTTCATCCATAAATTGCTTTAATGTATCGGAACAAGGGAATATTGAAGATAAATGCTTTATTATGAAAAATAAATCACATTTAATATTCATAACTGGTGTAGGGTATCATATGGTCGGCCACGCCCGACTATACTTTCTTACTTGTTGTACAAGCTGATGATTTTGACATGTTTTACAAAGATTATAGGATATGCTGCAATGTCTTTGGTAATTTGGTATGATAAATATAATTTTATATTTTTGTTTGAACTTTATATAAGATCTTTATCCCGAAATGGAAGTCAATTTATAAACAAAATTTATTGATGTTGTGTAAGCAAACATTTTTCAAACAGCAAGAACTTGGTAAGCAACATAAATATAAATTAAATTATTTTTGTGCAGTAACATGGTAAGCCACTTTAATTTCAAAAAATTATATCTCTCGAGATTTTGACCAATAAAATTTTTTCTTAGTATAATGATACTTGTCTTACCTTGTTTTATCCTAACAACATCAAAAATTATCAATTCCGCGTTTATCTTCATCATTATAAAGGGCTTTCTTATAAAGTGAAAAAAATAAATGTCATATCGAGTAAAAAAAATTCTCACAAATAGTTTAAATTGAAAAAGAGTCATGACCAATATATCGCCAATTTACCACAATATGCTAAATATCTTTTTAGAGACATTAGATATGGTTCCTAGCTACTCAAAAAGCACATAAAATCGAATTGTGATGGTTGGTGGCTTATCGAGTTACCGCAATAAGCCCTTCATTTTTATATTTAATTTTAAGGAGGAGCTGCCATACATCTTGCTAGTTCATTTACATATCTAGTAGGGTGATCGATTATCCGACATTTTACGATTTTCGAACAGTTCCAATAGTTGACATTTGAATGTATTTTAGTCCCTGGGATCATCATTTTTCAAACTTTTTCGGTATGTATTTTACTTCAAAATTTAATTTAAGTATCCGTTGAATGCAAAGCAAAAATAAAATTATTCGAAACAGGTTTTTAAAGTAAAAACCCGGGTTATTCTATATTTGAAAAATCAAAATTTAAAAAAACCAACCGTAGTAAAACGGACAAAACCGGAGCCGATCACCCTAATATCTATTCCTAAATATTTATATGGATATCAATGTCCATCATTTCCAGATATACAAATTTTTGTCATAAATTCATAAAGGGAAATGCCACTCCCACTATTCCTAGTACGTCCATTGTTGCTCTAAACATTTATATTAAAACTAAAGTTAATCGTACAAAATTTGACTCTAGTTTTTATAGATTTTCAGATATAAGAATTTTAGAACTATTGCTGGTTCGCCAATTTTTTTTCCTAAATGTGTATGTTAGAATTTTCCGTATAAAAATTGAGTATTCTAGCTATTGAAGTTTCTTATATGTATATACGACCGGTAACAAGGATTTGTCATTCTATAATATGTCCAAAGCCGGCTTCGCTTAGTAAAGATTTTCTAAATAGCCGGCCTAAGGCCGAAAGCTCTTGATACACGGAGAGTGTATTTTTAGCGAAGCAGGTGTCCAATATACCTCAGAGGAGAAAACCCTTGCGGCCGGCCGAAGACAGTTATCAAACGTATATTTTTTAGTTCGTGTGATAAAAGTATTATAATGAAATAACTCCCCAAAAATATTTTTAGGGATTTATTTTATATTTAAATTTTGAGGAATTATTTCATAATGAAATAACTCCCCATTTTAAATGTGAAACAATGCCCCAAAAAGCGAATTAAATTTCGTTGTTTTTGCTTTCTGAACAAATTTTTAGGGAGATATTTAATTTTTTTTATGGGGGGAGTTATATCACGACGCCTATTTTAAGATCTTTTAAAACAAAAAAATTATAATCATTTAAAAATTAAAAATTTACTAAGAAAATTTAAAATTAAGCAAAATGCTGTGATAGTTCATGTTTGATCACTCTGTTTTCTGTGATAAAGTTGAAATACAGTTGTAATTTTTTGGCTCCCGAGGTTTACGAGTGTTTACTTTCAAATGAGTAACATAACCTTAAAATCGGTGACCTTAAAAAAATTATTTTTGGCCGCCATTTCGGCAGTAAT